TCCCAAGCTTGTTTTCAAGATCTGATATTCTCTGTTTCATTCCTTCCACTCACTTCTTTCTTCTTTTCTCTAAGCTTTTTGTTTGAGTTCCTGAGATTTTTTATTTCAAGTTTTATTTCAGATTGGCTTTTCTTCAGAGATTCTCTTTATTGGATTCTAATTTGAGGTCTTGAATTGTTTTTGTTATTTCAAAACTGTTTGTTTTCATCGTCTCCATTCAATTTTTCATTCATAACCTTGAGTTCCTTGAACACACTAATAATTGCTCTTTTGAAAACATTGTCTTGTCATCCACTAGGATGTCATTCTCAGAAAACATTATTATGGGATTAATTTCTGTAATAAACATATTATCTTGAGTATTTATGCTGTTTGTGTTTTATGTTGAGACCTAGGTATCTGATCATGTGTCACTGGTATTATTTCTTGTTATGGATAGGTGACGTCATCTTGAGTAGTTTTTCCTACCTTTGATTGCTATTTCCCCAACTTGTCAGGTTCTGGCCCAGTGGAGACTTTCTGTAAAACAACAGAGGAGCTAGTTTCTGTTCTCTAGATACCATGTATATCAAGCTAGTATTGAGGCCCTTTCTCTCTATAGCAAGTCTAAATATAATGCCTTATAATATGTTGGAAAAGAAATTTCTTTTAAGGAAAATGTTGCAGGGGCAACCTGAGAGGTTAGCCAGGAATCTTCTTAGATAATATGAATGTGTATGGGAAGTCTTCACAGATTTGTAGTAAAGTTAGTCTTTTTTTCCCTGTATTAGTTGGTATTTATTTGAATGATATGGAAATTGGCTAAAACTTTCTGCTTTTTGCTCTTGTGCACTTTAATTACTTTGTAATATATTCTGTATCTTTATATGACATGTAGACACTACAGAATCATTTTATGAAAATTGTAGGACCTAGTAGTTTCATATTTATGAAAGACTATAGTGTATATCATAAAGACTTTGACACATGCTCAGAAAAGACAGGAAGACCATCACGCCTTAAGTTGGTTCTGTTGTACAACATTACTTTCCTAAAGGATTAAAATGTGGTGCTTTGCCAGATGTGGTGGTGCGCGCCTTTAGTCCCAGCACTTGGGAGGCATAGGCAGGCAGATCTTTGTGAGATGGAGCCTAGCTTGTTCTACATGGTGAGTTCCAGGTTAGCTAACAGGAAGACCCTGTCTCCAATAAAAAGAAATAAATAAAATGTATCCCATATAGTTCCTTCCATGCTTAAGGCTTTATTTTATTTATTTATTTTTACTGTGCAATGGGAGATTTTTCCTTTTATTCCCATTGTTCTTTGTAGAGCCCCCCTTCCCCTTTAATTACCCCTGTTTTACATATTTCTCCCTTAGAAACACCTTTCTCCTACTATTCTTCTCTCTCTGGTTCCTTCTTTTCCTTTACCTCCCTGTCTCCTTTCCATATTCCTGGTCCCTGCAGTTACATCAGGATATGCACTCACTTATAAGGATTTGGTGCTTATAATACAAATGAGGAAGAACATAGGTCTTTTATTTTTCTGAATCTGAGTTACTTCACTTAGTATAACAGTTTCTAGATCTATCCATTTACCTGCAAATTTCATTATTTCATCTTTCTTTACTGCTGAGTAGAACTTCATTGTGTAAACGTACCACATTTTCATTAACAACTCGTCAGTTGAGGGGCACTTAAGTTGCTTCCATCTCTTAGCTATTGTGATAAGAGCAGCAACAAACATATAGTTGTACAAGTGTCTCTACAACAAGATGGGTCCTTTGGGAATATGCCAAGGAGTGGTATAACTGGGTCATATGGTAGGTTCATTTTTAGTTTTTTTTTTTTTAAGAAAAACAATTATTTTTACACTTTTTTTCTTATACAGAATCTACTCATGCCCCTTGCCTATTTATATTATTAATAAAAGCATCTCTCATATGCCAAAAAAGAAAGAAATTCCTCCCAGTGATGAGGAAGAGGAAGTGAAGGGAGCCCTGTGAGTTGCACATGTGGAGGACGGGGCTTCCTAAGCAAGGGAAAGAATTCCATGATCATGTGGAAGGGGAGATCCCATAATTGCTCAAGGATTCCCAGCCAGAATTAATGGGATTAGCCACTGTTCTTATAAGTTAGTTGTCAAAGCTGTAAACTTAGACTTTGAGGGGAACTCCTGTAGTCAAGGGGAACATTTGGGGAATGTACTCATGGACAGAGAAAGGAAGGAAGTGCTTATAAAAGGACTGAAGGCATCACGGCAGGTCAGCATAGGCTGGAACTGATCTGAACATGTGGGTTTTCTTATAATTCTCATAACTTGAGTCATATTTGCTTATCTGTTTTATTGTTTGTCTTCCTAGATCAGAATTTTAGTTCTATGGAGGCTGAGGCTTTGTCTGTTTATCTTCTTAAAATGTCCTCAGTGCTTCTGTACCAGGTTGGGAGGAAGATACTAGGGCTGGCTCTAGATAATTGGAACACCTCTTGACTCTCCAATCTGTGGGTCTTCATTTCACATTGATCGCCACATAGAAGCAGGATCAGGGGGCTCTCAGGCAGTCCCCCTGCATTCTCAGCCCGTCTGTCAGAAAGAGGCCAGAGGGAGGCCAGAATGTAGGACTCTCTGGTGGTCTGCTGAGATCAGAGCCACTACACCGATGAAAGTCAAAACCCACTTTCTCAGGCTGTCTCTCATTTTTAGTTTTTTAAGAGTTCTCCACATTGCTTTCTAGAGGGGTTGCTTGAGTTTGCAATCCCACCAGTAGTGAATGAATGTTCCCCTTCCTCCATATCCTTGCTAGCATTTTGTATCGTTTGTTCTTTTGATCTTAGCCAGTCTTATTGGTGGGGTAAGGCAAAATCTTCAGGTGGTTTTAATTTGCAGAGAACTCTCTGTTTAGATCTTTAGCCCATCTTTTTTTTTTTTTTTTTGGTCTTTTTGAGACAGGATCTTCCTGTAGCCCCAGCTGTCCTGGAACTCACTATGTAGACCAGGCTGGCCTTGAACTCACAGAGATCCGCCTGCCTCTGCCTCCCCATCTTTTAATTGGGTCATTTACCAGAACACATACGGTTGTTAAATGAAATTCCCAGTGTCAGAGATGGGTTGCTCCCCCATGAGCTGTTGGCCAGAGGGGCCCTAGAGAACCCCCCAAACAATAAAGGCCATTGTTGGTTGTACACCAGAAGTGGATGGTAAAATCCTATTGCTGAAGATACTGGATGATGTGAGCCTGGGAGAGAGAGAAATCAAGCTTGGACTAAGCTGGAAACTCCCTGCCACTGGATGGGTGGCTTTCATAGTTCAGAAAGCACTATGCAGATGGATGTGGGAGAACTGTCCCCTATAATTTTGCTCAGTGACGGACCTTCAGTGCTGCACTATCAACATGCCAAACTGCTCCAGCTGGTACAACAGTGGTATTTCTAGTGTATGTACAACCAGCAAATTTTTGATGGGATATAATACCCACTCCTAGAGGTGGAACACACATCTGGTGCTGTAGACCAGGCCAACCCTGGGGAAGCCCTGCAATTGCTTTGACAGTTGGATGCAATTGTGATGCATCTGCTGAAATACCATCCAAACATTTGTGTTTATGCCCATAGGTTATTATAGGAGCCACTGTTGAGATAGTCTTGCCTCTCGCTGTTTGTGTTTTTATAGTAGACCCACTGAAATGGGCCAATAGCCCATGGAAAACAGATGATGCAGAGACCCAAAAGTTCAGTGCCTTGCCACAATGGGAGGAAGATCATTTCACATCACCCCCTCCAAGGCTCAGGGAATTTTTCAGAAGAGGTTGGTGGAAAGAATGTAAGAGCCAGAGGAAGGGGTAGAGTGTTAACTGGAAGTGTCCTCTAACCACTATGCTGGCAAGCTACAGTCACACCTCCGTCCCACACTCGTCAAGGAGTTGATGGGGGAGTCAGTTTCCCCTCCCACCCAATTGGTTGACCTTAGCTACATGTGGGGGAAGGGCTAAGGATGTATAAGCCAAGAATACCATGAGCTACTTCTGACAATTTGTGTGGCTGTCAGGAAGTCATAGGATCTATATTAGAGTGTGGACTTTCCATCAAGTTGTAAATGGGAGTGGGGGGTGCCCACTCTTCTGTAAATAAACCCCCACCCTATGCTCTGTTAGAAGGCCCAATAAACTCATTAGGATTAAAAAAAAAAACAAATGGAGCTAATGGAAACCTTCATTGTTCCACCAAAATTGACCCCATGTTGGTAAATCCTTTGGTCTTTGATTTCTTATTCCTAATTTTCCTCCTTAAACTTCATTGTGTGTATATATATATATTAACCTGCTTCAAGTTATTTCTGGAAAAATGTGTTAAAAATTGCCTCTCTTTGGAATAAGACAAAAGTGTTACCTTGAGACATGTTATGTAGGAGGTAGAGTCCCTGTAGCCCTTTCCCAACTAGAAGCAAAATTGTGTAATTGTTGCTAAGGAAGATTCAATGAACAGGAACCATGACTTGAGACACTCCAAGAGAGAACGTGGTAGAAGCAGTGGTGCTATCGTAATTAAAAATACCTGGTGCTGCTTAACTGACCTTAATGACTGCGTGAAAGCATTTTGCTCAGGATCCCAATGCTAGAGAATGTTGTTCTACTAACTCCAATAGAAATTAGGAATTTTAAGTTGCAAGCAAAGCAATGCAGCGTACACAGAGACTGGTCATAAATATGTTCAGATGAATACAGGAGGTTGCTTTGAAATCTCTGCATATTTAAGATTCATGTTCAACACCTGCATTCCTTACACTGAAATTTTTCTTTACTATTGTATCTTATACTTTTTTCTCATTTGTTTGCTTTTTTAATGTGTGTTTGTGTGCATCTGTGTGTGTGCACGCCATGGTGCATTTAGGGAGGACAACTTCTGGGAGTTCGTTTTCTCCTTCCACTATATGGGTTCTGGTGGTCTAACTTAAGTCATGAGGCCTGGTGGCAAATTCCTTTATCACTGAGTGATCTTACCAGCCTTATGTATTGTACTTTTTACCTTTTGTTTCTGTGCAGGAGTGACTGGGCCTCTTCAGCTGTCAAGCAGTTACTTGTGGATGCCTGTGTGATCAAAGTCCAAGGCTTAGAGATGTGTGCTGTATTGTTTTACATCCAGAGTCAGGGTTTGGGATTAGAAGCAGTACAATATCAGGTACAGGTGTAGGAAAGCACTGAGCAGTTTGGGAAACAACCATCAACCTTCAGTCATCAATCAGTCAAATGGTTCCACTGTGGTGGCTGTGGTGCCTGTGGGTTCTTCCTTTACTTACAGAAAAGTCTGCAGTTCTGAACAAAGGCAAGGAAAACACACTTTAAGTAAAAGTTTATAGGCTTGTATTCATTGTACATAGTGAGGGGTTTTATAAAGACTTTCTAATGGAAGCATGGCATGCACTCTGACCATATTCACCCCTCCCATTTCTCCCCCTCTCCCACAGTCATTATTACCACTCATTCCCCCAGTCTTGTTTCTACTTTCATCACACACACACACACACACACACACACACACACACACACACACACACAGAATTTTGGACTCACAGAAGAGTAAAAATACATGAATTGTCTTTCTGAATCTGACATTTCACTTAATGTTATGATTCCACAATTACATCTTTTTCCTTTCTCTATTGTGTATAACATACCAGATTTTTAAAATTAAAACATTTTATTTATTTATTTATTTATTTTTATTTTATATGTGTGTTTTGCTGCATATATGCAAGTGCACCACATATGTGCAATGCCCAAGGAGGTAAGAAGAGGGTGATAGATACCTCGTAACTGAAGTTATGGATGGGTATTAGCTGCTATGTGGGTACTGGGAACCAAACCCAGGTCCTCTTCAAGAGCAGCCAGTACTGTTAACCACCTAGTTCAAGGCCACCCTGGTCTATACAGCAAGTTCCAGTTCAGCTGGGGCTACAGGGATACCCTGTCTCAAACACACACACACACACACACACACACACACACACACACACACAGAGAGAGACAAACACACAAATCAGATGGCTATAGCTGCGTAAGTTTAGTCCTGGATCTGCTGTTCTGTTCTTTGATCTATATGTCTGTTTTGGTGACAATGCCATGCTGTTTTCTGTTAGTGTAGAATGTCTTGAAATCAGATACTGTGTTACCTGTAGTATTAATATTTGCTTTGGATTAATGTGGTTATTAGTATGTATGAATTTTGGATTTTTTTCTAGTTCTGTGTATAATATCATTAGCATTTTGATGATGATTTCATTGGATCTGAAAATTACTTTCAATAATACAGTCATTTTCAAAATATTAATTCTGCAAATCTATGAGCATGTGTGGTATTTCTGATTTTAGTGTTTTTTTTCAATTTCCTCAGTCTTTTCAAATTTTCACTGTAAATGTTATTTATTATTTACTTCTTTGGTTGGGGTTATTTCAAGGCATTTTATTTTCTTTTAAAGCTTCAGCATTTATGTTACTGTTAATTAGAAAGGCTTCTGAATTTTGTATATTGATTTTGTACCCTGTTACTTTACTGTGCTTATCAAATGTTCCAATTTTCTGCTGTAATCCTTAGAATCTTTTAAGTATTGGATCATGCCATCTGCAAATAAGGATAATTTAAAAATCTTCCTTTCCTATTTGTAGCATTTTTACATCACTCTCTTATCGTGAATGCATCCCCATCTTACTGCTCTAGCTAAAACAGTGCACCGAATAAGAGTGGGGAAAATAGATGCTCTTGTCTTGTTCCTGATTTTAGTGGGAATGTTGTGAGTTCCTCCTGCACTTTAACATAATATTGGGCATTGACTTTGCATATCACTTCTTTTATATAGAGGTATGTTTCTTCTATTACTGGTTTCTTTGGGATTTTAATCATGAAGATAGTTTAGACTTTGTTATTGGTCTTTAATGTATCTATTGATGGGATCATGTGATTTCTAACCTCAAGTCTATTTGGAATATTGCATTTATTAATTTGCACACATTGAATTATTCTTGCATCCCTGGAATGCACTCAACTTGATTATGGTGAATGATGTCTTTGATGTGTTGCTGAATTGGGTTTAACATTATTTTTTTTCCTTTTCATTAGGTACAAATTATTATTACTCCTTTTATGTTGTGTCCTTTTTGGTTTCAGTATTGGGATAATGCTGCCTTCATAAAACGAGTTTCATTTTTTGTTGTATGGACTATTTTGTGAAGCATAGGTATTACTTCCTTTTTAAAGGTCTGGTGGAATTCAGCAGTGAATCTATCTGGGGCTGGACTGTATTAGTTGGAAAACTTTTTAATCACTTCAATATCATTGCACATTGCAGATCTGTTTCCTCATATCTTCTTGGTAAAATTTTTGTAGGTCTTATGTGTCTATAAATTCATCCATTTGTTTTAGATTTTCCAATTTATCAGAATATAGGTTTTCAGAGTATTCCCTCATAATCTGATGCTCATTGATGTGGTTATGTGTCCCCTTTTATATCTAATTCATTAATTTGGATCTTCTCTCCATTTTGGCTAGTTTACCCAAGGTTTTGCCATTTTGTTTATCATTTCAAAGAAACTAGTCTTTGTGCTATTGATTCTTGTATTGTTCTTTGCACTTCCATTTCATTCGATTTCTGTCCCGATCTTTATTACTTCTTTCCATTTCCTGACTGGGATTGGGTTTGCTCTTCCTTATTGCTGAACCTGAGATTCATTAAATCATTTACTGGGGATCTTTATTTTTTAAATTTATTTTTATTTTATGTGTATGAATATTTAAGTGCAACTGTGTACAATGCCTGTAGAGGACAGAAGAGTGTTGGATACCCTGGAAATAGACTTAGGGATGGTTGTTAGGTGTTGCGAGGGTCCTCTTCAAGAGCAGCCAGTACTGTAAACTGCTGAACCATATATCCAGCCTCAAGAATCTCTACTTTTAAAAATATAGACTTTTTTTCTTTGAGTGGAATATTCTGTGGATGTCTGTTAAATCCATTTGATCATATTCAGACCCATACTGCATCCCTTCCCACCTTACTACCCCTTCCTAACTTCATTCCCTTTATTTTTAAAATTCATTTAATTAAAAATTATTTTTATTTTATATTTAAGAGAGTATTGCTTGCATGTATGTAAGTGAATCTGTGCCGTGCAACGCCCACGGAGGTCAGGAAAGGGTGTTGGATTCTTCTGGAACTGGAGTTATGGATGGTTGTTAGCTGCCATGTGGGTGCTGGAATCAAACCTGGGCCTTCTGTGAGAGCAGCCAATGCTCTGAACCACTGAGCTGTCTCTCCAGTCCTATTATTTAATTTAAGAAAAGGTCTATCTAGTCTAATTTGTGTTCCCCAAATGCTCTTGAGTGTGGGCCTATCCACTGGAGCCTAGTCACCCTACCCGGACTCTTTCTCTCCCATCAGCTATCAACTGACAATAGTTCCTCAGTTAGGGCTTGGCTTCTTGCCCACACTCCCATCCATGCTGGTGTTTTGCTTGGCTTGAGATTGACCTTATCTTGTTCATGCTGTTACAAGCACTATGGGTTCATATGTGCAACTGCCCTATTGTATATGGAAAACACAATTTCTTCCCATTCATCCACCACCTCTTACGAATTTTCCTTTCCTCCTTCTGCAATGATCCATGAGCCTTGGGAGGAGAGGGTGCAATACAGGTGTCCCATTTAGGGGTGAGTAGTCTCTTGTTCTCTGCAGGTTGACCAGATGTGGGTCTCTGTGTCAATGGCCATAAAGCTTCTCTGGTGAGAGCTGAGAGATGCACTCATCTATAGGTATAACAATACGTCATTGGTAGTTGGTTTAGTAGTATGTCTATTTAGCACAATAATAGTAGGTTTTCTCCTATGGTTTGTGACCTGTCTAGTCACAGGTTCTTGACCCTGATAACATTGCCACATATAGGCTCTATCTTGTGAAGTGGACCTTAAATTCAATCAGAAAGTGGGTAGTTAACGATAACATTCATTCCACTATAGCACCACTGGGCAGATCTTACTAGGCTGGTCATACTGGAGCTCCTAGAGTTCACAGCTAGGTGAAGTTGGTGATTACTTTTCTCTCCCAGTAGCATTCAGAGAACCTTCCAGCACTATGAAAGCTATGCAGCAGATAGGAAGCTTTGACACTAGTACCAGCTTGATTTCTCAATGTTTTTCTATGACATGTATACAGTGTCTTTAACAACAGGGTCTTACCATCAAGTTCTGGCAAGTAAGTAAGAGTAATAGTAACTAAGAGTAATAATAACTAAGAGTACTAGTAATAGTCAGTATAATTTGAGGGGCTATGGAACTTCCACGGTCAACAACTCCAAAAGAGTGAGTCAATTCCTGGCATTGGGCTTTTTATTTGCTAGACTGTGGTGACTGGTAGGGCATTGGTCCCCAGTTATAGGATAACTTTATTTAAACTCTTTTTATATTGCATATGTATGTATTTTAAAATGTTTCTATAGTAATAGGTTTTCATATGACTTTTTCTAAAGGCCTTTAGTGTTGGCTCTACCTTCCTACATGCCCTCCTCTGCTTGTCACCCATTCTCTGCCCCATTTAACTCTTCCTACTCTTTTATCCCCTGTTCCCTCTTTACAGCACTACATTCTATGAAGTCCCTCTCATGGTTTTCATCCTCACCCGCTGATGGAACCTTACTAGTTTCCTGACCTCTATGGCATTTCCAAATGAAACACACACACCTAAAGAGTCAAAGCTAGTATCCACTTATGAGAGAGAACACGGGACATTTGTTTCTCTCTGATTCTGGGTTACTCCATTCAATTTTATTTTTCTCCAGTTCTAGGGATTTAACTCCTAACTTGATAAATTTTTTTGCTCTTAACAGCTGAATAATATTCCAAAGTATAAATGTACCATGCTTTCATTATTCATTCATCAGTTGATGGACATCCTGGTTGTTTCCATTTCCTGGATATTGTGAATAGAGCAGCAATTGATATCTCTGTAGTAGGATATAAAGTATTTTGGGTACATGCCCAAGAATGGTATGGCTGGATCATGTGGCAGATCTATTTCTAGCTTTTGAAGAATCTCCACCCTGAGTTCCATAGTGACTGCACCAGTTTACACTTCCAGCAGCAGTGAATAAGTGTCTCCACTTCTCCACATTCTCACTTCCAGCAGCAGTGAATAAGTGTCTCCACTTCTCCACATCCTCACCAGCATCTCTCATCATTTGTATTTTGGGTCTTAGCCATTCTGACCAGTGTAAGATGAAATCCCAAAGTAGTTTTAATTTGCATTTCGCTGATAGCTAAGGAAATTGAA